GGACCGAGCGCGCGCCGCCCCGGCGGGCCAGGGCTCGAGGCGCGAGGCTCAGCGCGAGGAGCCTGGAGATCGCGGGCACTCTCCCGCGGGGGCGGCGGCGGAGGGCGGTTTTAGGGCCTAGGGCAGGGCGTCACCAGAACAGCCCACCCCGCCCGCCCGTTAACCTGAGATCCCCTTTCGGTTGGGTTCGAGTCCATTCGTTGCTCTGGGTGGTCCCGCCGCCGCCGCCGCCGTCTTTGGTTCGTCTGTCCTTGTCTAGTCTCAGTGGGTCGGGTCTGAAAAACTTGGACTCGACTTCATCCAAGAGCTCATCCAAGTCCTTCGCCATCTTGAGTCGTGACGTCTTTCCCCAACTACCAGGGCCGCGACGGCGCCTGGTGGTTTCCCGGGCAACGCAAGGCCCTGTCGCAGGCGCGCCTACCCGCTGGATTCCGCGCATGCGTGAGCCGTTCGGGAGCCCGGTAGGGGCGCCGGCAGCCTCGGCGGGTCTCGCGCGGGGGCGCGGTGGGTGATCCTGACTGGGGCTCATCGCCTGGCCGGGGCGGCCAGTTCCCAGAAAGTCTTGGACACTTCACTTTCCTAGTGGTATCTCCTACCATTTCTCTTTCCCGGGTCCAAGCTGTGACCACAAACACAAACACAGTCTTTCTCGTTTTCTTATCCACTTCTTTTGGGTCCCCTTCCTTAAATGGGGTCGGCCGTTCATAAATACCTTACATTATCTGCTGAAGATGCGGGGAATGTGCTTCAGAGGAGAAGGAGCAAAAACTAAAGCTTACGTAGTCGGCAGGATTCGAACCTGCGCGGGGAGACCCCAATGGATTTCTAGTCCATCGCCTTAACCACTCGGCCACGACTACTGCTGATGTTAATTTTAGCAGGAACATTCTATGTAGACTCTGCGTAGAAGCGTCAGCTGCGGTAACATACCTTTGCAGGGGAGGAATGGCACTGTTCAGCTGTTTTGTCTGATAAGGGCACGTTCCAATGTTACGGCTCTCAGAGTTTTAGTTGTTCGAAGAACTCTTAGAATGTATCCCACCCCTTGTGTTCCATCAGAAAGAAAGCGTTCCAGTAGGATTCCCGGAGAGAAGGAGAGGAAGGGAGAGGAAGGGAGAGGAAGGGAGAGGAAGGGAGAGGAGAAGGAGACCGCGCGCGCTTGAGCGAGCGCCTGGCACCTTTGTGCGCTCGTTTGCCCAGGGATGGAGCCGTTTGTCGTGGGGCAGTGGGCACTGTGGGGCCGAAGATCAGCCCACCCCTTTGGCGATCTTTTGAACGAACAGCTCCCAGGACTCTCTGTTCACCTATTAGAAATTAAAATACTGTTTCCTGTCGGCTTAAATTTACTATGCATGGTAAAACGGCCCCACTGTGCCATTAAAAACACTACTTTGAAAAAGTGTGACGTGTGGTACAAATATAACCTACAGTATTGTCAATAATGATATTGGTATGAATACTCTCCATAATCTAGCTTGTGCTTGGAGTAGTACTTCTAAAGAGAGACTAAGGAAGAGCTCTGGGTCATATTAGGGTTTGATCCAGATGTTTATTACCAGTTTCATTTATTTGGTTTGTTGTTTGTTCAAAATAGCGTTAATGTCCCGGAAGAGCAGCATATAGTGCGTGCTAGAGCTAATGGAACCTACTTACTGGAACCTGCCTTTAACTTTTGATGAATTTGGTGAGCCAATTATTAAATGCAACTATTATTAAACTTATTTTTTAGCACTTCCAAATGTAAACTTTATAAAGTATACAAACAGGTAAGCTTGTGGGGAAGCTGACCAAGATACATAAATCAGAAGATCCAAGTATCCATCTAAATTTTCTGTACTTTTTTTTTTGGTGACTATTAAGGTTATTTAATGGACAACTTTTCTTATGTTCTTTTGGTAGTCCATTATACAGATAATTCATTATAGAAATTGAGAATTAAATTACATTAAAACTAAGGTAAAACTAAAAAAGTTGCCACAGTCTAATTATTTCACTCCATTTGACTATTACGCTGTTGCGATTATTTACATCTGTTGTATCTGAAATTCTATACAGCAGGTTGCTGCTGTGTACCTTCCCTTACCTTCATTTGGTGATGTTGCTTGGGCAGCTTGGTATTTATGCCAGTGAAACTGTACATGCCACAGAGCATGGCTTTTAACCCTTAAGAGCTGGTTATCATTTATTAGCACACCACTAATGTTATATTGAATGAATTTTGAATTTTCTCAGGAATGCAACAATTCCCTTTCCTGTGGGGTTGCTCTGGTTATGCCCCCTGCACCTTTGTTTTAGCTATTAGAATCCTTTTTTATCCATTCATCAATTAAAAAAATATTTTTCCAAATGGCCTTGTCATGTTATTGTACCTGGCCCTGGCTTCCAGCAGAAAACCAGGAAAAAGCCTCCTGAAAAGCTGTGCTTGCAGCTGGATTCCTGGCAAGTAATACATTGTTGCTGTCCCATTTGACAGGCTTACACTGCTGATTTGATTTTTCTTTAGAAAAATGAAATCTGAGGTGACAAGTACTGGTACTTTCAGAGAACCTCTTAGCAGTAAATTTGCAACGAGCATCTGTGGAAAAATAGAAGAGGAAATGTTTCTGGTTTTATGTGTTTTGTTTGTGTGAATATTAGAAAAAAGTTTGAGCTTGTTCTCCCTTTCCTCCATTTTAATAAAAGACCATGTGTAGATCATCCAGTTTGGTATTTTGAGAATTTTATTTATGGCTTTTTCAGCTCTGCAGTGAATCTCCTGACCGTAGTCATGTTCTCTTTTTGACTTGCCTCAGAGAAAAAACTCAAGTTCGCTGTCCACAAGGAGAAATGCCACATATCGCATGATTGTGATGCGGATGTGTACAGCTGTGTGATAAACTCTAAAATGATTGACATATTATTAAAATCTCCAAATGTCAGGAGTGATAGCAGGGAGCTCTTCAATGGACTCCAAACTATGGAGGTGGATTTTCAAGATGAATCTAGACATGGCTTTCCAAGATTCAACTACATCCATGCAAATCATATTAGAAGATAATTTTAAAAAATTCATGTGATACATTCCTTAGAGTGAAAGTCTTCTTTCTTTGTATTTGTTAATGTGTTTACACAATTTGTGAATCCTTGTCCCTTAAGTCCTTCCCAGTCTTAGGAAGCATGCTAAACATCAGATGTTTCAGAAAAGAAAACAGCTGAGTACCTTCAGATACAACTATTAATATGTACAAGAAGCATGCTGTTATTATAGTACAGTACTTAGTATTCCAAGCATTATGGTTTATATCTAAATGTTCCCCCAAAGCCTCATGCATTCATAGGCAGGGCTTTGGAGAAGTGATTGGGTCATGGGGGTGTGGCTAGTCCACTGATCCAACCAGTTGGTGGAAGTGGCTCACTGGGGGAATGGTTTAGAAGGGTTTATCTCCTTTCCTCCTCCCTTGATCTCTGCTTCCTGACTGCAAGACCATGAGCTGCTTCTCCTCTGCCAGTCACCTCTGCCATGCCACCCTGCCTTGGAGCCAGCCATCTGTACAAACTGTGAGTCATAATACCTTTTCTCCTTAGAGTTGTGGGTGTTGAACATTGTATCTCTGATGAGAGAGGAAGATATTAAAGAAGTATTTTACAGAAAAGGTGTCCAAATCAGGAAACTGAAGTCCAGTGTGCTTTTCCAAGCACTGAAAAATGCTCTGAACCTGCTTTTTAATAAATGAAGTAGAGGTGGTGTAACAGCTGGTACTGTTGTCCCCTGTAGCTCCAGGACAACCCCTTCAGTTACTGGGTATTTTATAATCCTCCTGGCTATTCACATAAAGAACAGCAAGGCCTCTTTGAATTCCCATGCCCTTATGTTTAATTTTCCCTGCCCTGCTGTTCTCCCCACACATCACAGGCCTGCTAAGCTAATACTCGTGGCTGGACAGTGACATCGGTGTGAGGGAGGCATCCTCCTGGAACAGTCTCAAGCCTAGCACCTGATGCGGTGGAGGAAATGGAATAGCTCTGCAGCAGCTCCAGCTCTTCTAAGCGGTCTCTGAGTTAGGCCTCAATGTCATGTAGGTAAATTCAGTCCAGAACACGTAGAATCTTTATTGGAATTTGTACATTCATCTCTCACAGCTGTGGAGAGTTTAGACTAATCAACTCTCACTGGGATACTATCATCTTGGTAATTTGAAAAAGGATCAGGAGCCTGCAGGCTTGGAACATATTGAGAAAACGCTGGCTCTGAAATACATCATCACATGTGGGGGACACCACTTGCTGTATCATCGCAAAGAGCTTAAAAATGCTGAAATCAAGTATTTCTCTGGCATGATTTCAAATGGTTTGAGAAATCTGAGAACTTTTTTTTTTCTACTGCAAAACAGATTCTTTCCTCTTCCATCAACCTCGTTGCTGTCAATGTGTCCAATGTTAGGTGCCAGAAATGAGCCCAGCCTCTAATGATAAGAATGCCAAGGTTAACACGTCCACCGGGGGTTCTCTCAAGAATCTGTTAGTGTATTTTGATCCAGAGACACGTTCTGAAGGTGTACGCCCCCTTAGGCTTTCTAGTCTCAGTACATTTCTCTTCGGCAGCTGGGATAAAACCTGTCACATTTTACCAGATCTTCTCATGCTTTGGGGCTCCTCAGACACCATTTTTCATTGATCCTGTGCACCCATATGGCAGGGCTTGATGCAAAGTTGGTATTTGGGAAGCAGCTTCTGACGGCACAGAGGCCCGGTGAACTATAGCCATTTGTTCAGAAGGCCAGGATTCACAGATGTGCTGTAAGAGTGCAATATAATTTTTGACTCCACCCAAATGGATATTTTATCACCATCTGCATAGCAACCAGCAAACAGATCAGTCTGTGGAGGTAAGCGCTGATGTATGGGCCTCAAACCATCAACCCTCTGAGGAGTCAGCAGGCTTTTTTAGTTCTATGGTTTTTTGAACATGGCCCTCTCTTCCTCTGTGTCTCATATCTTTTTTTTTGCTTTTTAACCTTTAGAAAATTAAACCTGATTCAAGAAAAAGAAAGGATGGGCTGGGGGAAATATGAGGGTGTTTCAGCTGGGCATAATAATGTCAGGAAGGTGGGGGCCAAATTGGTGGTTGCAATTGACGAATCTCACAGGCCTGGGCTTAGCTTTGGTGCCTGTTGGGCTTCCATCTCCCCCAACTGGCCATTTACCCTCAAGGAGGAACTCAGAATTCTAAGCAGAGCCATTTGCCCTATTCCTAAGCCAACATACCACATCCCAGTGCACTTTTAGGACTTTAATAAAGGTACCTGTTGTCATCTACCTTATAGTGAACTGCCCAAGGAATGTTTGGGGGCCAGGAAGGACCTCAGTAATTTGTGTAAAACTCTTTCATTTTATAAATGAGGCAATTAAGGCCAGAGAGATGAAATCCTTTAGAAATTCTTTAATTCTTTGGAGAGTTTCATTGTACCATTCATTGTGTTACCTAATTTCATTTGTAGTGGATTGATAACTGGTGGTCAACTTATAACCCCCAGCTGAACTGAGTGAGTGGTGCTGGGTGTGGGAGGCCCACCTGAGGACTGTTGCCAGCAGCATAAGAGGCAGACCTGGAGAAGAAGAAGCAGGGCTGTTGGGAGCCGAGAGAAGCTGTTGCGAGCTGAGAGAGACCGTGGGGAGCTGGCTTCCTGATGAACTTGGCTGCTTTCATCCTCCGAGGAGCTCGGGACCTCGCTGGCACTGAGAATGGCTTCAGTTCACTTTGGGGAGCTCTGGTCCTCACTTTGAGCATAGCTTCCTGGTTCCGGAGGGGAAGATGGTGCATTGCCAGCCTCCTGGAAAAGCTTGCTGCGTTGGCTTACCTGACGGGAACTCGGCCATCCTGGTCATCGGAGGAGCTTGTGACCTCACTGTTGCCAACGATGGCTGTGGTACCTTTTGGGGGAGCCCTGGTTCTTCTGAGCATCACTTCCTGGCCCCAGTGCAGATCCCTCAGCCTGCTAGCACAGATCCTTCTTCCTGCTGGCATAGACTTTGTAGATTCCACCACTGACCTTTGGGCCTTTCCAGCAGATCCGTGAAACAGGCCTGCATGGGACGTTGTCATGGGTTCTGGGCCTCCAGTTGGATTCATGGGAGGCATTATTATGAGCTCTAGGTATTTACCTCAACTCATGTAGGACATTGTTGTGGGATCCAGGCCCTCAGCTGGATTCCTTGGTCTTAGTGTGTGGACAGATTTCCTGCACTCTTTTGTATACTGTTCTTTGGGTGACTTATAAATAATCATATAAAGTATGTGTCCTGTATTATGTTGTTCCCCTTGCAAAATAAGCCGCCCCAAACCAACACATCATTATTCTAGTTATTCTGGCTAATACTGTTTCTAGCATCTTTAAGATTGATCATGTAAGATTTACCATGTAAATTTAATGCTAGATTGCCATATTTTGGAATCTTTTCAGGCTGGGATTAACATATTAGCAAAAAGATCTCCTCTCAACTTCAACTCTAATGGCCTGTGCTACTCTGATATACCCATAGCTCTGTAGATTAATGACTACATCTAGAGCTTATGTATGTGGACACAGCTTCTGAAAGACAAGGATCATAAATGATGCTGTGAATGAAGGGAACTAGCATTCCAGAGCCATGGGACTGAATCCTCCCATAGCACCAACAGCATATTTTCTGGACTTTGGTTTCTTTGTCCTGAAACTCGTATCTTCTCTGACTACTTATGGCCAGGTTCTAGAAGACATTAGTCGTTTATATGCCCTGCCTGTCTGTGGCTACTGAACCATTTTCCCAGGGTTGGATGAATCCACCAGCTCCTGAGGCAACCCAGGACTTGCTCTTAGTCATCCTGGCTACATCTGGACCACCTAGGTCTGGTATCCAGCAAGCAAAAATGCCACGATGCTGTCTTTTCCATGAGCCCCTGTGTGATGGTTTCCATTCTGCCTTTAGATTGAACTCCATCTCTACTTGTGAGTTCTAACTTTCTCTGAACCCCAAACCCTTGTGCAGAGGTGTGGCAGTTTCCTAAGGCTGTCGTAAGAAATCACGACTGAAAATAACAGAAATTTATTCTCTCAGTCCTGGGGGCTAGAAGTCTGAAATCAAGGCATGGGCAGGGCCATACTCCCTCAGAAGGCTGTAAGGGAGAATCTGCTCCTTGCCTCTTCCAGCTTCTGGTGGCTGTTAGAAGTCCTTGGTGTCCCTGGGCTTGTAGACATATCATTCCATGCTCTGGCTTTGTCTCCATGTTGGCTTCTCCTCCGTGTATCTATTTTATGAGGATACAAGTGACTGCATTTAGGGCCTACCCAGATTACTCAGGAGAAGCTCTCCTTTTAAACTTAACTTAAATCTCATCCTTAATTTAATCTCATCTTCAAAGACTCTTTTTCCAAATAAGGTTATATTATAGGTTCCAAAGATTTGATATGTTTGTCCTTGAGAGGCTTTGGGGGGTATTTTTCAGCCTACGGTAAGGGCCCTAAGAAACTCTTAGCCTTTGATGACTTCTCTTCCTGGGCTTCTGTCTCTCTTGGTTCTGGCTAAGGCTATATTTCCATATGAATGAATCAGTCTGGAATCAAACTGTTACCCATTAAACTATGAATATCTCCACAGTTCACCCATTTTTATTGCGTTTCTTAGGCCTCGAGGTCCAGTCTCTTAGGTGTAAATCCCAAAGTAGGCCAGAGCCAAGCTTGCCTGTAAATACTGTGATGTAGTCTGATGGGTCATTTCACAAATGCAGGTCAGTTCTTTTAACTTGAGCTGTGCTAGGATGGCTCTACCCTCCTCCCTTTCTGTCACTGAGGTCTCCACATGCTTCACAGCACTAATTGTGTTGGTTATTGTAGACTCATGATCAAAACATACTTTTCTGAGTTCCTATGCTGAGTTCTTTATAGAAGTTATTTTATTTCACCATCATAGCTAAAGAAATTGGGACAGAGAGGTAAAGTAATTTGCCCAGGGTCCTACACTCTGGGTTTTGCAATTAGGTCTAACTGAAAAAGTCATGTTTGTTTTAACACAAGACACTATAATTCATGTGTTTTAAAAATTAGTTATCTTGTTATTATCTCTCCTCATTAAAAAGAAAAAAGAAAACTGAGACAAGGGTAGGAATTAGCTTTGTTTGATTTTCTAATGACTTATGAGGACTTTGCAGGCAGATTTACTCAATCAGACAACTTTTATTTTTTGTAGTATCTGGGATCCGCTGAGTATTTGGGTATGCTAAGAAAGCACCATACCACTGAGCTACACCTCCAGCCTGCAGACAGCTTAATTCTTTAATTCGTATCTGAGAGACATCTTCCAAGTTCAGATATATGAGTGTGTATAAGTTTATAATACACTTGGAAGCTTGCATTGTAATTCCCAACTGCATGCAGAATCCACGTGTACTCTCTTAACATTTGCAGTACCCGTCCGGTGTATACAGAAAACATGAGATGTAACAGTGAAGGAAAATGCCATTCAACGGGCAGGCAAAGTTTAAAA